GTTTTAAATACTGGTTCTTTAAAAAAAACATTTTTATGATGGCAAAAAGAACTAGTTGTTGTTTTTCGTCATGATCACTAACGAAAATAGGCTTTGGCTTTGTTAAGTAAAAGACACATTAGAACTTCCAACACCGCTTACTACAAAATGTAAATGATTTCGGTTTTTAAAAGATGTGTGTTGTACAATCGTTCCACCACGCGCAACGAACCGCTCAGAGAATTCAAAGCCCCAAATGACCATGAAATCCATGTCACGGTGAGTGTATGTAATTTAACCCTAACTGTGAGTCAATTCAGATAACGAAAGCATGCCCCGAGTATGTGGTTAGTTTCAAAGTATACCACGAAAATAATGTGTAGCTGTGTTCTAATCATTGTAAAGAGCTAGACTACATGTTTAGAATAAAAACAGATCAAAGGAACAGGAGAAAAGAGACAAAAGATTCTCTCAGTTTATAAAGGCAACAATAATTCACACGTGATCATTTAAAAGCAAAAACATTCAGTCAGGTAGCTTCATTTCTTGTTTTTTCGAGCCTTGTCTCTTTCTGCTTTGAAAACTTTATTTCTCAATCACAGCAGCTCGTTCATTCAGAAGCAGTCAAATACGTATCGTATAGCTGATGTTTTTTGCTCAGCTAAGAACTCTGCCTCCGTGTGGACTGGAAAACTCAGCAGCAACTCAGATTCATTCCCAACCGCACATGCTAGTATCAATAAAGACGGATAAATCCAAAAGAGTTGGGGTAAACTGAGCTCAGTTCATACTACAGAGAGGAGAGATTCATTTTTTGTGTCTGTTAGGACACTAAGCAACACAGATGAGTAAAATGATGATGAGAGAGAATGAGAATAAAACTCAGACTGACATTTTCCTACACAGTTATATAATTACAAAATGCACTGTATTTCTACCCTGGGATTAAATTAAAACTTCCAGACACTGACAGCAGTTAGGCTATATAACACAGATTTCCCACATATTCATGAACCGGAGGGGGCCATGATTTCTCTCTTTCCTGTACTCAGCCTCCCAGTGAGCTCTGAGGTCTTGACAGGGCAGATGTTAGCACACCAGTAATGCTAAAATGTGTGAAAGTTAATCATGTGCAGGACAGTGAAGCTGTAGTTAATGTCTTGGAGTATAGGAGCCTCTGACTGACCACCGAGTCACTCACCTACTCGCTTTTTTGGCAAACAACATCACAGTATGTCTGTGTTTTAGAGGTCAGACAGAGTTTGAGCTCTGCTTTGTACTGGAATTGACTCCATTAACATTTGTCAGTGTAGTTTTGCAGAAGGAAAATCCTTTCACACAGAAAAGTACTTCTGTGCCTTTTTTGGTACATCCCAATAATGGCCTCCTGTTAGTCCATAAACAAGAAAGGCTGAGCTGTAAACCACTGGGTCACACACATATTTTGCTCTGTCTTCCAGGATTGCTTTCTTCCTTTAGCAGTGAATCTCATAAGCAATGGGAGAGTCTATGAAGAGGCCTGTGTGGTTGAGAAACATTCCTTCTGCCTCTAATGTGATCACGGGCTCTGCCTCCCCTCCTTCTCCTGCCATTCTCCTCATGGTCCGTATGTCACCATCCTGCTGCTGCTGCTTGTCAGGGGCCAGAGTGGGGCTCATGGTCTGGCCAGGGCCCGAGGAGAGGGTGTGGCTGGAGGTATCGGATGGTGCTGAACAGCCCAGGTTAGTGGTGGACACAGCTGTTGGCGGAGCAGGAGGAAGCACAGGCTTGGCCCTGTTGAGGACATACATTTCATGGCCACGCTCATCACGATACTCCTCCAGCTGGGCGAAGGTAGTGGGGCCATCAGAGTAGTCATTCACATACAAGATGCTCTCCTCCTGTGAATTCAAATTCACCTTCATTAATATGACAATGTAAACGACAAAAAAAAAACACCTTACAATATAAAGCGCCTAGAGGTGACTTTAATTGAATTGAATTAAATTGAATTCAAACAGGCGTTACATGTAGGGACCGCAGCCTATCCCGTGCTCAGGTGACCACAGAGAGACAGACCATCATTCACACCAACAGGTAATTTAGAGCATTTGGACTGTGGAAGGAGTCTTCACATAGAGAGCCCACACTGGCAAAAGAAGGTGGTGCAAATCCAAGACCCTCAGTGATAAACACTGCAGCGCTGCCCCCATTTAATTGATTTCATTTTCTTTCCTTTTATTGGATTCTTACTGAATTCCCAGTGCCCTGCAAAAGTCTTGAGTTACCCCTCTTTTTATATATTTTACAAGAAAACTCAACACCAAGCTCTTCATCAGACTATCAGTGACTGATAGAGTTGCATTGTATTTTCCTATCCAGGTATTCTGGCACTGTGTTTCTGATTATCATCTGGCAGAAAAATAAAGTTGTTGCCAATCAGACTCTTTCTGATGATATTGCTTGGTCAATCAAAATTCTACAATACTTCTCTGTGCTAAAGATTTCATCAATTTTGACAAAATATCCAACACTAGTGGCTGAAATGCAGTCCCAAACCTTGACAGAGCCTCCACTGTGTTTTACAAATGGCTGTACACATCAAACTCCTGACCTCCTCGATATATATATTGATATTTGAATCAACAATTTGGATTCATCACTCCATCAGATAGCTAATAGCTCTTTAGAAGTTGCTAGCACAAAAATACTAATTTATACTTGTCAAATTGAGTTATGTGTGGCATTACTTGGTAGATTCAACTAAAGAGTGACAAAAATACATGTGTGTTTTTGCCACAGGCTGCTGGTAAGGGGTCTAAATATACATGTTAGGTTCCCTGTATGTTTGAGTGATTCACAGGTCAGTGGTAAGTAGTTTTGACTAATAACATTATCTGAAAATGATCACATACAAGAACTAGACTGAAAATTATCTGCCAGTGGCCGAAGAAAAACTTTAAACTACTTTCAGATGGTGAATGGTCTGTATTTATATAGTGCTTTACTAGTCCCTAAGGACCCCAAAGCGCTTTACATATTCAGTCATCCACCCATTCACACACTGGTGATGGTAAGCTACATTGTAGCCACAGCCACCCTGGGGTGCGCTGACAGAGGCGAGGCTGCCGGACACTGGCGCCCCCGGGCCCTCTGACCACCACCAGTAGGCAACGGGTGAAGTGTCTTGCCCAAGGACACAACGATTGAGACTGTGGGAGCCGGGGCTCGAACCGGCAACCTTCCGATTACAAGGCGAACGCCCAACTCTTGAGCCACGATCTCCATGATGGATTGGAGAACTATTGCTCAAGACCTCTTTAAAAAATTACAAGTCTTACTCCTCCATCCATCTATTTTCTTCCACTAGTCCTGGGCCAGGTCATTGGTGGAGTAGCTTAAACAAGGATGCCCAGACCTCCCTCTCTCAGCCAACTTCTCATGCTTATCTGGGAGAACACTGAGACAATCCCAGGCCACCCAAAAGATCTAATCTCTCTAGCATGTCCTGGGTTTGCTCCAGGGCTGCCTTCTGGTAGGACATGCCTAAAACACCTCATGCAGGAGGTGCCCAGGAGGCATGTCCGAATCACCTCATCTGGCTCCTTTCAATGTGAGTAGTAGCTGTAAACTGAGCCAGTCTTAGATAACTGAACTCCTCACTAAATCTCTAAGTGAGATAGCCACCCAGTGGGGAAAGCTCATTTCTGCCACTAGCCTCTATGATCTCATTCTTTCGGTCACTACCCAGAACTCATGATAACAGGAGAGAGTAGGGACATAAATCAAGAGCTTTTCTTTAATGCTCAGCTGTCTTTACCACAATGGACCAGTCCAGCATCTGCATCACTGCAACTGTAGCCCCAACCCATCTGTTAATCTCTCACTTTCTTCTCGCCTCATTCACTAACAAGATCCCAAGATACTTAAACTTGGTTGGTGGCACTCTCACCTGGTGTTTGCTCTTTCTGTGGTACACTATCACTTCTTGTGTTTTGTGTAGCTAGCCCATTTAATTTAAACTCTTGGAAAACATATTTTTTCATAGTGTAATATGAAGATGATTTTTGTAGTGCAGATGATTCATAATATCCATCTGCTTTATCCAAAGCAAACTCTGTTAAATCACCTGCTAATTATATTTACAGTATTTAGTCATTGTGTCTGTAGGGATTTGCTAGCTTAGCTTAGCTCATAGCTAACTTGCTATAAGCACAGCATCTTCACCCGTCCATCTTGCACCTTCTTGCTCCATGTGCAAGAGGTTTAGTTACTCCTCGGCCTCCCTTATTAATAATGGTTCTTGTAATAAATGTAGCCTGTTTTCAGCTCTGTACTGTAGGCCAGGATTCCTGAATTGGAGTTGGGATCATGAAGCAGACTTGCTGTCTACATCTCTCTGCAGCCTGTCTCCTTCTGTCATCCCCTAAACTCCATCCCCTTAGAGACTGCAGTTGCTCCCAGACCACCAAAAACAAACCAAATTTTTTCTTTTTTAGCAAAAATAATTAAAAAAAAAAAAAAAAAAAAACCCACAAAGAAAGAACAATATAGCACCAAAGAGTAAAACTGTGGATTCTTAAACTTTAGTCCCTGTTAGTATAAGATTTAATAATTGATCAACACTGAAAATGGCATCTCACTAATTTAGAAGATCTTCATTTAGCTTGTAAAAAAAGAGATTGTTGCTCTATTTAAAATAAAGCTCTCCATAAAGCTAGAAAGTCTTACTATTCATCCTTGTAGCCAGGCTGACAGAGAGTCTGTCGAGCCAAGCATTTCACCAGTCGTTACTTCACATTTCTTGACAAATAAAAATTTGACTATTTAGAGAAAAAATATTCATAACCATCTGACTGATGTATCATTATGTACAGCTTCTTCCAATTCTATTGATAATTTAGCCTCTCTATCTATTAGCCTCTGAATTGATTTTTCTGAGTTAACTCCAGTAATTACTTCCTCCAAATCATAAACATGTCCATTAGGCCCCTACATCTTACAAGAGTGCTCAAAGAAGTCCTTTGAGAAGTCCATTAATGCTTCAATTTAAACTATGATCTATATATCCCTATTACTGGGCTATGTACCGAGCCATGTATCAGAAGCCTTTAAACTGGCAGTGATTAAGCCATTACTTAAAAAGCAATCACTTGCTGTTTTAGCTAATTATTTCAGGGGCACCACCAATGGCTGGCCAAAATTTGCAGGACCCCCAGTGGACCCCCTGGCATATGTTGGTAATAATTTTAATAAACATGAGTACAAGAGAAGACACTGTACAGTGAGTTGAAACATTAATGTGTTATTTATTCCTGCATATACAATTTTTGTCATTCGTATTGTATTCGTATTTCGTATTCTATGCAGATGACACCCAACTTTATCCATGAAGCCAGATGCATCAATTAACTAAACTGCAGGACTGTCTTAAAGACATAAAGACCTGGATGACCTCCAGTTTCCTGCTTCTAAATTCAGATGAAACTGGGGTTATTGAACTTGTAAAATTGTATTGTAAAATCTTAGAAATATGGTGTCTAACGTATGCTTACCCTGGACAGAGGTGGCAGAAGCACAGGCTTTCTCTACTTAATGCAAATATCTATACTTCTACTTAAAAGCTACTTTTACTTTCGTACTTGAAGTACATTTTAAAGCCTGTACTTTTTCAGTTTTATTTGAGTAAGGAAGTTTCTTCAGTACTTCAACTTTTCTCTAAATCTAACCTTTCTCCTTCTCCTTTCCTGTCTGTCGTCCAACATCAAGTGAAGTTATCTGGCACCGTTTTCTGTCCTTTAGCTAGCAGACAGTGCAACAAACTGCACACAGTTTGTGTGCTTGCTGATGTTTGTTGAGCTGATAGAAACATTGAACTTCAAATTACCCGTTTCTTAAAAATAGCACTCTTTTCATGCTTCCTCCTCTTGTGTAGAGGTAGCTAGATTCTAAAGTACCGCGACCACAACTTACGGAAACCTGCACCTCTTCCGGCCCATTTTAACTCGGATTATAAATGCTATAGATGATACAGTTGAACCTAAAATAATGAGTTTGTTTTGAAAATGTAAGGAGTAGAAAGTACAGATATTTGTTTAAACATGAAGGGAGTAAAAGTAAAAAGTTATCAGAATACAGAGTAGTTGTACTTTCCTCAAGTAATGTGTGGAGGAGGTGTGATCCCTGGCTCAGCTGTGAGCCAGTCTTTATATAGTGATACCTGAAAATTCTAAGTACAGTAACAAAGTACTTGTACTTCATTACTTCCCATCTTTTAATCTAAATGGGATTACACTGGCCTCCAGTAACTGTGTGAGGAATCTTGGAGTCATTTTTGACCAGGATATTACACAAATATGTAGGACTGATTTCTTCCATTTGTGCAATGTCTTTAAAATTAGAAACATCCTTTGTTGAGTGATGCTGAACTTGTTGATGCATTTATTACTTCTAGACTGGATTATTGTAATTCGTTATTATCAGGATGTCCTAAAAACTCCCCAAAAAGCCTTCAGTTAAATGCTGCACTGAGAGCACTGGGACTATATTTCTCTCATATTGGCTTTTCTTCATTGTCTCCATGTGAAATCCAGAATCAAAGTTAAAATCCTTTTCCATACAAGGTCTTGAACACATAAGGTCAAGCCCTACACTTGACTCTTAGACTCCTCGGTTAATTGTGGGATATTTAAAAGTAGGATAGTAATTGGTGACAAAGGGCAGCCCTGGTGGAGTCCAGCATGCACCATGAACAAGTCGGACTTGCAATGTAAACCAAGCTACTGTAATAACAATAGCAATAGGACAGACACACCATGGTCCCAAAGCATACCCCAGAGGATACTCCGAGGGATGTGGAAAAGTTTCCTCCACAGTCCACAGAACACATGTAGACTGTTGAGCAAACCTAAATACATAAAACCGCATCTACATCATCAGGTTGTGTGTATCTCTATTGTTATATGACTGCTGCAGATTTGTTTGATCACACATAACAAATTTTAAAGTTATAACAAGAACAGTTATTTTTAACCAGATACACTGATCGTAACATAAGCTCATAAAACATATCTTGACACATGTGGTCATAAGGTACCATTTGTGCCAAAAATTTGTTAACATGAACGCTGTTTACATGGACAATACATTTGTCTGTATTTGCGACATCGCACTTTACTTCAGTTGTAACTAAACTCTTTCGACAAACAGATGGTCCATGTCAAATGCTCACCTGACAAAACATTTGTGTGTGTCAGTGCAGTTTTACTTCTGTCATCTTGTTGTGCTTCCTCTGATTTTGTTGTGTTACACTGACACAGACAAATAATTGAAAATTCATTCATAAACTCCTATCTACTATGAGGATAAATGCCTTTATTCTACTTCTAAATATGCCAATCACATTTGTAGTATTGAACATATATGCACCTTTTCAGCCCCATCAGCCTCTTTGTCCCGTTGGTGATGTCGACTGTAGATCATGGCGACTAGCAGCAGAGCAGTCAAAGTCAGCAGTGAGATGCCCACAGCAATGGCAGTCTGAGTGGCAGCTCCCAGAGCACTGAAGGCCATGCTGCCCAGAGCATACAGGGGTTCCCGGCTTACATCTGAGCCCAAAGCAGGACCGTGGCTCCTCAGTCGAGGCCAGGCAGGTGAGTACGGTAGAGACACCTGGGACCATGAAGCCCAGATGGAGGAAGAAGATGAGGAGGATGTTGATGAGTTGATGGCAAGTTGAAAGGTGACTCTAGCCACACCTCCTGCGTTCCATGCTTCACATTCATAGAAGCCTGCATGAGCCACAGTTACGTTACTGAGAAACAACATGCCACTGCCAGTGTCGGGGTCAAAGAGTTCGCCATTAGTCTTCTGGAGACTGACTCTGCCTTCCTGCGAGGGCTCCTCTGCTCCTCCCATTCCACCTCCACCTGCATCCAACTCCTGAACCAGGCCTCTGGGAGAAAGGACTACTTTACCCTGGGAAGCTTTCCTCCAGGTCACCTGCAAAAGGTATTGGCATTTCTTTCTTCAGTGGTCTTACAAAGGATAAACCATCACAGTACAAAAAGAAAAACAGATACTACTGTTACAGTACTGCCAACCTGAACTGGAGTATGTAACTGATGATTCATTCAAGATGTTTTAAATAAATGAAAAAAGGAGGAAAATTGAAGTAACCACTTTAGCTGACCACACTGATTGCATGCAGTGTATTTGGAACAGTCAAAGAAGACCAGTACAAACAAATTCATTCATTTGATAGGCAGGACTTATGGCAAATGGTGGGGAAAACAAAATAATTTAAAAGAATATTAAAACTTTAATTACCACTTTATTTCACTTTAATTATCATTACCTGTGGCCGAGGATAACCAGTGGCATGGCACGACACCCTGAGGCTCTCTCCCAGATGCACTGCAAGCCTCTTGGGCTCCAGCTGCACCAAGGGAGGGATACAGACCAAGCTGTTGAGAGGAACCTCCACCAAGCTCAGATGTGACAGGCGTGGTGGCTCGATGCAAACTAGTCGACGTTCTGCAGAGCTAAGCAGACGCTGACCCTCTTCATCAATCCAGGTCCTCAGCCAGTGCAACGCACAGTCACAGCGCCATGGATTATCTGCAGCATAGCACAAGACAGAAGCCACTTAATGTTCTGCCCTAAAGAGTCATGATGATTACCATATTACTAGGCTCTACATGAGTAGCTATCTGTAACTCAGTGAACAGATGTTATTATGCGTGAAACTGTATAAAAAACCCCAACAAAAAACCCAAAACACAACATGGGTTCCAATGTCATCAGTAAAGGAGCCTCACCTGTGATACGCAGGACCTGCAGGCTCACTAGAGGTCGCAGTGTTGCAGGGCCAATTGTGTGGAGGTTATTCCTACTCAGGTCCAGCAGAGCCAGAGAAGTCAAACCAACTAAAGCCTGGTCGGCTAACGTCTCTATACTATTATGCTGTAAGTGGAGCTCCTGCAGACGCTGAGACATCAAGAGAATGATGTACATTATCTATGAAGCTTCATATAGGGCTCAGCAAAGCTGCTGTGTTGAACAGGAAAGTGAGACTGTACCGGTAGGCCACGGAAGGTGTAGTCCAGCAGCCGTGTGATGTCGTTTCGTGCCAGGTACAGAATGCGTAGATGTTCGAGTCCCTGAAACATGTCAGCTGTCACCAAATGGATGCGGTTTCCATTCAGTGCTAGCTCCAATAACTGACCGAGGCTCTGGAAAGAGCCAGGCTCCACGGCTGAGATGGTGTTGTTCTAGAGGAAGAGGGACATGAAAAGAAAACTAGAAAAATGTCTGCTTCTGGTTAATCTCCTGGAACTACCACTACTATGATGTCATTTGGTTTTATGAAAATTTATGTT